TTTCCTTTCCTTTCCTTTCCTTTCCTTTCCTTTCCTTTCCTTTCCTTCTTCCTCCTTTTTTCTTCCTTTCTTCCTCCTCTTTTTTCTTCCTCCCTCCCTCCTCCTTCCTTCCCTCCCTCTTTCCCTTCCTTCCTTCCTTCCTCCCTTCTTTCCTGTCTCTAGCATTACCCACCATTTGCCCCCACAAACTTCAATGACTCCCTCACTGGTTCAGTGTTGAATTTGTCCACATATTAACACAACCAAGGGGTTGTGTAATAGCTCAGTGGATTCTCTGCCCCATGTCATGCTGATTTTCTTCACTGGTCCATCAGGCCATCAGGTCCATGTGGACACCAGCCAGCGAGTGATTAGAGTGTGGCTTAGTGGATAAGATTCTGGCCTTGGAGACAGGACTTCTGGGCTCAGATTCTTCTTCTCACACATACTGGCTGTGTGACCCTGGACAAGTCACTCGCCCTGTATGATCCTATGCTCCTATGTTGGCTCTCCTGGTGCTCAGCAGCCAGCTCTCCCTCCACGATGTCGTGTCCTTGTATTTTGTATTCCAGATGAATAGTCAGGAGAGCTGTTCTCAGGCTGATCTGGAAGAGAAGATGGTTCATAAGGTCACCATGGACACCGTGAGGATCATCACGGCCTCTGTCAGTGGGGTGATCAATGTGAGTGATCTCTCCAGGGCACCTCCAGATGGATAGGTCAAGGCATGAAGCCTTCTTAAGGTTCTAAGTCAGTGAGCCCTAGACTGTGTTACATGCAGTGGTGGATGAGAAGGAAGTAAAGGATGTAGCTCCTTAACCTTAGTCATGGCCTTGGCTGTGCCAGACCAATGGGATGCCCAGCCATTTGGACTGTGAGGCCAGAGTTTGGGCTCCATCTCCCACCTGGTGGCGGCTTACCCAGGTCTTAGGCATGAAGCCTAAGAGGACATAGCTTGTGGAAATCCGGTCTTGCCAGTCAGAGCAGAGGAAGAGAGAGCAAATATTGTAGCCGGAGACAAGATGCACAGAATAACCCAAAGCAATTCTAGGCTAGCCTAAGCAATAACGAGGAGGTATGGCCACCTTGTTATGCCATAGAGTCACAGACTCTCAGAGTCGTAAAAGGCCTCGGGTCACTGGGGAGCACTCCTGTATCTGAATAAGAATTGTCTACCACCTCCCTCAAGAGGGGCTCCCCAGCCTTGGCTTCCAGCCTTCCAAGGAGGGTGGATGCCAAACTTGGCACAGACCCAGACATATGGTATGGCTGGCCTTCCGGGAGCTCAGAGCGACTTGGGGCCACCTCTGCAGGCAGCTGTTCAACCTTTGAAAAGTTCTAAGACAATGTGGCCACTTACCTGAGAGAGTAGAGTAAAGTAAAGGTCACAGGAAGGTTCTTTGGGAATGACTGAGCAGGGAACGGATCTCTGCGTTTGTCTGCGATGTGTTGTATACTTGGAGTAGATGGACGGAATGGGGAAACCATTCTATGCCAAATCAAATCAGCAAACATTTATGATGCCTTTCTATGTGCCAGACAATGTGATAAGTGACTGGTACACTGTGCTGGGGGTACAAATACAAGAAAAGGAAGCCATCCAGAGAAAGTCTGGGAACCCAGGAGGGCCGCTTGGAGCCCTGACTGGCCTGGGCCTCCTCCTTAAAATGGAGGGTCTGGGAGGAGCCAGCCAATGGGGGGCAGAGGGTACTTCCACTATGAGAGGTCAGGGGGGGTGGACTTCCAGGGGAAGGGGCTTCTGTGTCCTCCTGGCAGGCACAGTCAAGAAGCAGATCCAGGAGTGAGCCTGTAGAGGAAGGGGCGTGAGGGCTTGAATGTAGGGCGAGCAGAGGATGCTGAAGACACGGACCTGCTTCCAGCAGATGGTTGGGCTTAGTCATGACAGCTGTGGCTTCTGGGAACCATGGAAGAGATGGAGGAGACCGCAGAAGGCCCCTGGTCGAACCAGGGCCTGTAAAAGCATTCCCAATGCCAGTTCTGCCCCTGGGCCCAAACCTTCTCTCAAAGAACAGCCTTTCAAGTCCCCAAAGGCAGACTGCTGTCACGTGGTCCTCCATCCCCCAGTCTGAGCCGGATGGGGTGCAAGCCAGCCAAGGCAAAGCTGAAATGGAGCGGCGTGTGTTCTCACACCTCTCCGTCCATGCCTTCTTCCCTGTCCAACGTCTCTTGCTAGCTTAAAACTAATATGTAAACTAATAATGGATTCCCTCTAAGCCTAATTGAGATGACCTTAAGGGTCCATCTCTCCTTGGACTCACTTCCTCTAATATGCAAGGGTGGGTGGGTGTGTTTTTGTTGTCATTGTTTAGTCAATTAGAAGAAGAAGACAAGAAGCCTTGTCTTCTTCAGGCTGAGCACCCCCAGATCCTTCAGCCCTTGTCTGAATGGCATACGCTAGAAGTCCCTCACCAATCTGAATTGACACCCTCCAACTTGTCAATAACTTTTCCTTAAAAATGGCCCCCAGAACCAGACATAGTCCTCCAAATGCAGTCTGACCAGGGCAGCGCACAGTCCTCGACACCATTCCTCTCTGTGCAGCCCAAGATTATGGTAGCTTTGTTCATGGTCACATCGTGTTGTTTTTGGTCCACTACAACCCCCATATTTCTTTCAAACCAACTGCTGCCTGCTTGTGCCTTCCCCATTGTACACTTATGAGGTTGGTTTTTTTTGAACCCAAGTGCAAAACTACATTAATCTTCATGAAATATTTTAAACTTAGCCCAGTATTTCAGCCTGTCAAGATTTTTTTGCATCCTGATGGTCATCTTATGTTAGCTATCTCTCCTAACTTGTAGTCATCTGCAAATTTGATAAGGGTACCATCTATGCCTTTCTTCAAGTCATTGGTAGAAATGTGAAATAGTACTGGGCCAGGCCCAGAGCCTGGGCCCTCCACCAGACACCTCCCAAGTTGACATCAAACCATCACACATTCTCTTTCTACCAGTTTCTTTCTTTTATTTTAATTTTCTTTTTTGTTTCCATTCCAAATTCTCTCTCTCCTTCTGCTCTCTTCCCCAACCATTGTGAAGGCAAGAAATACAGTACCCATTATACATATAACATCACACAAAACCTTGTTCCACATTCACCGTGTTTCAAATAGTTTCAAATACCTCCTACTTAGCCCACAGCTCTCCTTTACCACAGAATATCGTGAGATACTTTGTCCAGTCTTTACTAACTTCAAGGTAAACTACATCTGAAGCATTGCCTTGACTTTTCAGCTCAGTAACACTGACAAAAAAAAAAGTAAGGTCAGTCGGGCACAGTCCATAGTTGATGCAGCCATGATGGCTCCTCATGATCACTGTTCTCCTTTCTAATTGATCAGTAGCCATCCCTTTAATAATGCCTTCTCCAGCTTTGCCAGGAATTGAAGTTAAGGTCACTGGACTAGACTTTGAGCTTTCACTCTCTTTCCTTTTGGGGAATCAGGATGACACCGGTCCTTCTCCAGTCTTGGGGTGCCCCCTCCTGTTCTCCACTGGCTAAGCAAGACTGTCTGCCCGCGCTTTCAGCACCTAAGGATGCCGTCTGTCTGTTCCTCCAGGCCCATTGATCAGAATTCCTAAGGGGATATGAGTGTCCTCTTTTTATCTCCTGACTTATCTTGGGTATCAGCCTCTAGAACAAAAACATTTTTGTTCTGTTCTCAGTATTCTCCTTTGTGGCTTGTCATTCTGGGGTCATTTCCTTGTCACGGGTAGCCCATCCGGACAGGGCTCTAAGGCCAATGAACTGAGGCTAATCCTAGTCTCTCTTCCTTTCCCCCTCTTCTGCTGACTCTGTAGGAATTTTGGCTGAAACTCTTGGGTTACATCATGGAGACAGAATACACGGAGGCCCTCACCCCCATCTGCAACAGCCTGACCAACCTGGCCGAGCGTCAGCGCCAGCAAAAAGAATCCAACACGAATGTGGGCAGACGCGGACAAGGTCAGTGAGTCGTCCCCGGCTTCCTCGGGCTCCCCGGGCCAGGCGATGGTGAACGGGGCTTAAAAAGCACCTGCTTCCTCTTGTGGTATCGCACCCCCTCTGCCCCTGTCAAAGGGGGACATTGTTTGCCATCACTTACCGGATGTTTCAGGTATCTCATTATTTTTTTCTATTGTGAAACACGCGTTCTAGCAGGCTCCCTAAAGGCAGAGAGCCTTTGAAGATGACTCACCGCAGATCAGGGCCTAGGGAGGTGCGAGGGCATCGGGGCATGGATGACTCATCTCAGAGAAACAGGAAGTTGGGCCAGAAGAGGTCCACCTGCCCAGCCAGGATGTGGCTTTCTTTCAGTCCCAGCATGGAGGGGGCAGCCCGAGTGGACAGATGTTGGGATTCTAGGGGCTTTTGGAGCCTGGGAAGAGGGCTGTGGGAGCCCAGGGGGCCTGGGTCCACTCTGCTCTCAGTGTCTTTGCTCTTTGAAGAAGGGAAGGGTGACCTCTCCCAGAGGGCAGTGCAGGTTCCTGGTGGGCCTGAAACTCGGGTGGCCTCATCTTGGGCTGGACCCCAGACTCAGAGATGGGTCTGGGGCTCCTCAACGTGGGACCAAGGGCCCAGGAGCCTGATTTTATACAGCCTTGCCGAGTAGGAGAACCGGGCTGGTAGAATTGGGCCAGCTGGCTCCAGTAGGGGATTTGATGTTAGTCTGGCAAAAGGGGAGGCCTGAAGAACAGGACCTTGTCCCTATTCCTGCTGAATCTAACTGATGTGAAGTCCAGAAACGGTAACTTTTCTTTGTTGGTTGTTTCAACCCACAGCACTTAGTCACTTAACTAAATTGCTAGCCACTCTGCCTCAGTTTCTTCATCTGTGAAATGGGGATAATAGTAGTACCCACCTCACTGGATTGTTGTGAGCTCAGATGTGAAGTGCTTGGTAAACTTTGCTAGCTAACAGTAATAACGATTCTACAGAATGCTCCAAAGAAGCTTCGCTGACTGGGGAGGAGGGGCGGGAGGGCCTCATCTGTTGCTAAGGCCGCATCTGGCAGGGAGCTTCGGGAGGACCCTCAGGAGAAAGACAGGACCCCAAGGGCCTGTGCTTCCCCCCTTGCCTTGGTCACGTGTGTTCCCTGTGATTTGTATGTCACATTTGTGCCCACTCATATCCCCACGGACTTGCGAGTATTTGTGGAAGGTGTGGTGGGGGGCAGGACTTGCCACTCCTTGTAACTACTAGGTGGTTCAGTGGGGAAGGGTGTGCAGTGCTAGACCTTGAGTCAGGAAGATCTGAGTTCAAATTCTTCCTTAGACTCTTATCAGTTGTGTGACCCTGGCTGAGTCCCTTTACCCCCTGTAGTCTCATTTTCCTCATCTGCAAAATGGGGATAATAATGTCACCTACCTCACAGGGGTGTTGTGAGGACTAAATGAGGTAACATCTGTAAGGCGAACCTAAACCACTGGGGTAATTCTAGTAGTTATTATTGCTGTTGTGGTTGCCATGTAATTTGAACCAATCCCTTCTCTAAAAATCTAATTGGGTCTATGAGCTGATTGTTAAGAGAAGCACACAACTGGGGGCTCATGAGCAACAGTGTTAGAAAGAAGGAGAAGCCAGGGCTCCTCTGGGGACCTGCCCTGCCCACGCCAGTGGGGGCAGAGGGGGAGGTTCCCAAAGGCTTCGAGACCCAAAGGTGGAAATCTCTAGCAGTGTAACAGAGGGCCCACCGGACAGGAGGCTCTCCAGTCCTGGTGCTTTAGGTGCCGCTAACTAGACAGAACCTACGGACAAGCCAGCTCACCTGGGTGGACCATGGTGTCCCTGTCTCCCAAATGCAGGCGTGAGATTAGGAGACTTGGAGGCTCTGTGGCAGGGCTGATGGGGTTTAGAAATTTGTTTGTATTCATACTATTTTGTTTTGACACAACAGTCACTTCCCAATCACACCTCGCCCCAAAGCTGAGAACCTTCCCATAAAAACTGTAAAGAAAACCACATCTGTAATGTGATAATGACGCTCTGCCCTGTGTTACCAACAGAAAGGAAGGCTATACGGTCATAACTGGGTAAACTGGAACCACCATTTTCCACTGTAGTTGACCTCAGCTTTGTGGCGTGTTAACGCTGGTCTCACTTAGGGCCGTCGTCATAACGTTTGATACCCAACAATATACCACATAGAATATGCACAACAGACATTACCTTATGTAGAACACAGCATATTACACTATAACGTCCCACCTGGAGAATGGAGTGCTGGGCTTTGCCCTTCTATTGGGCTCGGCTTGCTTCCTGCCAGCCTTCCTGTGTTTGTCTGAACTCTTCGTATTTGGAGTTCCTTGAGCATAATCGCATTCCACCGAGTGCCTTTTCATTCATTCACTCCTCTCACACACTCATTTCATCCCTATACCATAGCTTGTTCAACCATTCCCCAGCTGTTGGGAGCTCCTACAAGTAGGGTTGCTGAGAATGTTTCGGTCTGTATGGGGCCTTTCTGTGGCTCACCTCCTCGGGATGTGCCCGCAGGAATGAGACCCTGGGTCAGGACAGTATTGAAGCTTCGTCCCTTTTTTTTCACACCATTCCCAACTGTTTTCCTGAACGGCTGGACTTCCTCATAGCTCTTCCAGCAGAGAATCAGTATGTCTATGTAAAAATAATAATAATGACTGACATTTCTATAGCACCTGCTACATGCTAAGCACTGAGCTAAGAGATTTGCAAATATTATCTTATTTGATCCTCACAGTAAACCTGAGAGGTAAGTGCTGTTATTATCCCCATTTTGCAGATGAGGTAGCTGAGGCAAACAGTGGTTAAGTGACTGCCCCAGGATCATATGGAGAGGAAGTGACTGAGGCAGATTTGAACTCAATTCTTTCTGACTCCAGGCCCAGTGCGCTATCCCCCTAAGCCGCCTCGCTGCCTCTATGTTCCTGAGTCCCTCCAACAGTGACTCACTGGGCATTATTTCCCCCTCCCTCCTTTTGTGATCCAACCAAACTGGCCCTCTCCCTGCACTTCACACCCCCCATCTCCCACCTCCAGGCCTTTGCATCTCATGCCTGGAATGCACGCCCTCCTTACCTCTGCCTGAGTCTCTCGCTTCCTTTGGGACACAGCTCAGGCATCCAATCTCCCCAGCTAACACCTTCCCTCCCAAATGTTCTTGTATTCAATTATTTTTTATACATTCTCTGTATCCTTATATCTGTGCTGGTCATCTCTCCCATTGGAATGCCAGCTCCTCTTGAGTAGGGGCTGTTTGCTTTGTTGCAGGTATGTTCTCAGTATCTGGCATGGTGCCTGGCTCATAGTGGCTGTTTGGAGACTGGTTGACTGATAGATTGTTGAATTCTTTCCTTGTCTTCCGCTGTGAAAGACTTTAATTTCCATTGTCCTTTAATTGTTTTAATGGTGTGATATCCTATTATATTTTGATGATTTACCCATTTGGAATTTATTGGGTCATGTGGTATAACAGGTTGGTCTAACCAGATTTGCCACCTAACTGCCTTTAGATTTTCACCAGGGTTGATGCTGATAGAGTCCCTGGGGGATGTTTATGGGCAAGATCTCTTCAGAGTCCCTTAAGCCACCTGTTCTGCCTGGTCCTGAGGCTGGCCCCAAATGGTCCATGCCTGGACTGATCGTGACTTGGCTTGCTCTTCTTTCTAGTGGAACTCCCTGCTCCTCAGAAGCTGCTGGCCCGGCTCCTGGTGAGTAGGCTGACCCTGCTGGTGACTGGGTGGGGTGAGCATTTGCTCATCCCTGCCGTGTCTTCAGTGCCCACAGGAGAGGGGTCCTGCCTGACTTTACTCCAGGTAGAGCTCCTTTGGGGGTGGCTGGGAGTGAGGAGAGCTCAGTGAGAATCCCAAGATACAGACCACCTGGCAAGGGAATGTCCTGAGCTTAGTGGCATTTCCAAATGTCCTTGGATCATTTGGATTGGACACGCTGACCATCTTTGTGTGCAGCGAGGGAGGAAGGTAGAGGAGGTTTGTTTTGGGGAGGCCAGATGTAGTTGCAGAGAAGATGCCCTGTGAGATGTGACATGCCTGATGTGAGAGCCTGTGTCCCTGGCTCAGAGTTGTGACTTCTGATTGGTCCCAAGGCCCTGCCCCTGCCCATCCTAGGCTCCTGTTTCATGCTGAGCCCCACCTCCCCCAAATGGCTTCATGTCTCCCGAGGGGAGCCTCAATCTGTCTCTGATCTGCTGACTGAAGGCTCAGCTGTCCTCGTCTGCCCTCCTCCCCACTGCAGGTGCTTCTCTCGGCCCCTTACAAGGGAGAGGGCCGCGGGGTGGCCATGCTGCAGCTGCTCAAGACCCTGCACCAGAGCATTGCCCCCTCCATGGCGGACCTATGGGAAATTGAGATTCCTGCTCTGATTCAGTACCTGGAAGGTAAGGCCCCTGGGGGTGGGTCTGTCCATTGGCTAGCAGCCTCAGAAGGCATCCTTCAAACAGGTCCTGCATACAGTTGGTGCTTAGTGAATACCTTTGTCTTATCTCCCCCCCAAATCAGTTAGCATTGATTAAGTGCCTCCTATGTGCCAGGCACACAGTAGGTGTCTTCACTGAGGCTTGTCATTTGTCTGTAATTCCCCCAGGGCCCTCCAATGCGTGACATTGGTGTGACATTTGTGTGATGTTGGTGTGATTTTGGTATGACATTGGTGCGACGTTGGTGTGACATTGGTGTGACGGTGTGACATTTGTGTGATGTTGGTGTGATTTTGGTGTGACGTTGGTGTGATTTTGGTGTGACATTGGTGTGACGTTGGTGTGACATTGGTGCGACGTTGGTGTGACATTGGTGTGACATTGGTGTGATTTTGGTGTGACATTGGTGCGATGTTGGTGTGACATTGGTGTAACATTGGTGTGATTTTGGTGTGACATTGGTGCGACATTGGTGTGACATTGGTGTGATGTTGGTGTGATTTTGGTGTGACATTGGTGCGACGTTGGTGTGACATTGGTGTGACGTTGGTGTGATTTTGGTGTGACGTTGGTGCGACGTTGGTGTGACATTGGTGCGACGTTGGTGTGACGTTGGTGCGACGTTGGTGTGACGTTGGTGTGACATTGGTGTGACATTTGTGTGATGTTGGTGTGATTTTGGTGTGACATTTGTGTGATGTTGGTGTGATTTTGGTGCGACATTGGTGCGACGTTGGTGTGACATTGGTGCGACATTGGTGTGAC